CCTACATTACGCTGTACAATACTATAGTTCTTTAAGCCTACATTACGCTGTACAATACTATAGTTCTTTAAGCCTACATTACGCTGTACAATACTATAGTTCTCTAAGCCTACATTACGCTGTACAATACTATAGTTCTCTAAGCCTACATTACATTGTATAATACTGTAATTATGACTCAATCGTGTTGAAGATTCGGTAACTTCTTTAATAGTTTGCGATACTTCTAATCTATTTGGAGGTGTAGGCCATTCAATCAACATTTAACTATTCTCTGTTATAACTGCAGACTTTGAACATAACTATTTTAGGACTTACTGGTTTACAAGTATTTCGCCGTCTTTCCGAGTTTAAATCGTACATGATGCAATTGTTAGTGATTTTTTTAACAATTTCTGAGTAAAAGTAACGATCGGTTTATAATACTATGTCAACCATACTATATCTGCTGTATCTAATTTCGACGAGGTATATCATCCAATACCACGACTCTTCAGGCCGGCTGTGAATACGATAGGCACAGTAGTGGTTGAGACGCTATTTATATTAGAAACCGCTTGACAACAACTATTACTGTGTGATCTGTATTGAGTAAGCTGTTGAAGTGTAATTTTATATCAGATTTATTTATTTATTGCTCAAGTGAATGATGTTAATATTATGTTTGTGTAATAGGTTATCTTATCATCTCTTCCTGCATTCAAACTAGTCTCAAACACAAACGAAATATTCAAAACTCCACGTACTAATATTTATTACGAATAGACCTTATATCTTCATAATATGTAACCTTGTAACATGAAAACACTATTATATAATAAAAATACAACGAGTTATGTGTCTCAGTGAATAACTATCCGGTCCTCACACCCAGGATCATCTACACGTCTGGTCTCATTATGCTCCCCAAAAAAGCCCAGGGACATTTACTGACCTCAGGCCCAAGATATACATAGACACGCGACTGGTTTCATTATCCTCTCCCAGACGAGTTTAGCCTCAAACCCAGGATACATACAAACGGCTACACAATATTGATCTTATTAACCTCTCAAACATACACATGGGCATTTAGCCTCACAGCTGATTGACGCTGACTATATGTATAAAGCGTTTAAGGTTAGCCATGGTCAGTACTCATGTAAATTTTGCTCACACTTTTAAGCTTATTAAGTAAAAAAAGAAAAGAAAATGATTAAAATCCGTTCAAGCAACAAATCTGAACATTGCACAAACATTTAGTAATGTGCTGTAAACCTGGGTTCCCAAACTTTCTAAGCCCAAGGCCCCCTTCTTATGTATCTGTAAGTACCGAGTGCATTAACAGTGTTGTGTATTTGACACAACAATATCAAACTATGAAGATAATAATAACAAAAGGAAAGATCCCACATCTTACAAACTTTACGAAACGGAACAACCTTAACCACAACTTACAAACTTTACGAAACGGAACAACCTTAACCACAACCTACAAACTTTACGAAACGGGACAACCTTAACCACATCCAACGAACTTTACGAAACGGGACAACCTTAACCACATCCAACGAACTTTACGAAACGGAACAACCTTAACCACAACTTACAAACTTTACGAAACGGAAAAACCTTAACCACATCCAACGAACTTTACGAAACGGAACAACCTTAAACACAACCTACAAACTTTACGAAACGGACTAATCTTAGGTGTATTGCATAATTATCACCTGTTTTTTTTTAAACATTATAGTAATTTTGAGATAGAGTAAATTATATAAAACCTAGAAATAAGTGTGGAAAGCTCTCAAAAATATAAAAACAGGTCACAGAAACGTACTGGGAAAACAACGAGTTTTCCATGAATAAAAAAAAGCCAATGTTATAAAAGTCTAGGGCGTTTACAGCCTTATTATCACTATTTATAGTCTTGTTATACCGGCGTGATCTATAAATTGTATCTCGTTCAGTAATTTTTTTGTTTGTGAGTATTACAACAGTCATTGTCCAAAAACATCCATTTTCTATGTAAAAAACATATAGGCGAATCCAAAAGTAAGTAGCAGTATTTACTGAAATATCATAAAGTACTTTTATTAAACTTTTTTGTGTGATTTTTATGTAATTAGAACTCTGACGTCAATAGTCATGGCTTCACCACTTCGGTAATTTTAGGGTTAAAAATATATACTGTTTTAATATTAGTAACAGAAACTCAGAGAAGTTAAATTGTTGTTTCTTCCCATTTTTAAAAACAAATATATCATTTTAGGGTTAACAAATATATACTGTTTTAATATTAGTAACAGAAACTCAGAGAAGCTGAACTGTTGTTTCTTTCCCTTTCTTAAAACAAACAATATCATTTTAGGGTTAACAAATATATACTGTTTTAATATTAGTAACAGAAACTCAGAGAAGCTGAACTGTTGTTTCTTTCCCTTTTTTAAAACAAACAATATCATTTTAGGGTTAACAAATATATACTGTTTTAATATTAGTAACAGAAACTCAGAGAAGTTGAACTGTGGTTTCTTCCCATTTTTGAAAACAAATACATCATTTTAGGGTTAACAAATATATAGTTTTAATATTAGTAACAGAAACTCAGAGAAGTTAAACTGTTGTTTCTTCCCATTTTTAAAAACAAATATATCATTTTAGGGTTAACAAATATATACTGTTTTAATATTAGTAACAGAAACTCAGAAGTTGAACTGTTGCTTCTTCCCATTTTTAAAAACAAATATATCATTTTAGGGTTAACAAATATATACCGTTTTAATATTAGTAACAGAAACTCAGAGAAGTTGAACTGTTGCTTCTTCCCATTTTTAAAAACGAATATATCATTTTAGGGTTAACAAATATATACTGTTTTAATATTAGTTACAGAAACTCAGAGAAGTTGAACTGTTGTTTCTTCCCATTTTTGAAAACAAATATATCATTTCACTGTAAAACTTTATATATATTTTTTAAACAGAATAATACAGAAGGCTCGCACCACCACCACCACCACTGCACCACCATGACTTTTCTAAGTCCTGCCCTTACAGCTGTTCGAAACCTGCACCATTGGAATCACGACACGTCGTAACAGGATCTATTACACACATTCTGGCAAGGTTAATGACATCCAACCATTTATAATAATAATAAAAAAGAAATAGTTAGTCAAAGCCAAATATTGCTTAGATAAATCATACAGTGATGCGCGACCTTTACATCACCCCGTGTGTATTAATACTCTGACCACCCCTAGGATACTGACTGATATAAAAAGAGTGCACTTCGTGCTATAAGAGGTTCTGTAACCATGGCTACGAAAGCGCTACCAACCAGAATAAAATTGTTTTAACACAAAGCCACATACTGATCTATTTTAACTCTGTCCTCCGCGGTGAATCGAGCCTTGCATTTTAGCGTTGTAAGTTCTTAAACTTACCGCTAAAAAACTGCGGGACACCAGAATATTGTTAAAAAAAGAAAAAAACTGTAACTGAGACATCGTGGTGCTGTGAATATTTACACACATACAATAACAACATATTTATGTTGTTTTTTCCCAATTTTAGTTTCACGCATAAACCTAATATTACATATAAAATTAATATGCAGTAAAAGCAGAATCAGACTGTCAGTTTTATTTTTTAAAATATACGTTTTTATATTCAACGTGTTATCAGACAAATGAGTGTCTCTTTAATACACATATTGTCCAATTAGAAGAATACTCTTCTGATGAAATTTTAAAAGTAATTCCACGTTTATTCTTAAACTTGCGTGAAATAGCAGGATAAAAAAAAAGAGTAAACAACGAAACAAAATGTAAAAATTTGAAATGATGAAAAATTTATTCCACAAAAATATTCGTATTTAAGTTGCAGAATTAGAGGCAGTCCAAGTTATTCTATAAACTTTTACAGGCAGTCCAAGTTATTCCATGAACATTTACAGGCAGTCCAAGTTATTCCATGAACATTTACAGGCAGTCCAAGTTATTCCATGAACATTTACAGGCAGTCCAAGTTATTCCATGAACATTTACAGGCAGTCCAAGTTATTCCATGAACATTTACAGGCAGTCCAAGTTATTCTATGAACATTTACAGGCAGTCCAAGTTATTATTATATAACAGAAACCCATATGCTTCTGGACTGAAAACATGAATATAACAGACGCCTACATGTTTGTGGACTGAAAACACGAAAAGAAACCTATATGTGCTTCTGGACTGAAAACATGAATATAACAGACGCCTACATGTTTGAAACATGAAACTGAAAACATGATTTTTACTATTTGATCTAATTACTTCCTAAAAACACACAAGTAAAACAAATGATTGATAAAAAAAAAATCGTTAAATATTTTAGTGATGACAAACATTCACATTTAAAACACACACATTAAAAGCCTGTAAATATCTTATTTGCTCAAGCTTTAAATAACTGACATACAATTGCCTATCCAGCTAACAGTTTTACACAACATTGACGTCACTAATCGGCTTTTCTCCCAGTCTTGCTACAAAATACCTGGCAAAGAGCTGAAAATAATGTTTCTGGTAATAAATTAACTCTGTGAAGTTTTTAAAATAACAATATAAAAGTGTGCGTTAGCTCTAGTCTTCATAAGAAAGACCCCACCAAACACATAACCTCTTCAAAAACAAAACCCACATTTTAAACTAAGTAGTAGCTGGGAATAGTTGCGTCATCGCTAAATTACAAAATAGTAACAGACAAGGAACCTAAATCCGTTCCTTATACGCATGTCCGAAAAAAAGAGTTAAGCCTCAAACGACGTGCAACTGTTTATGCAAAAACCAAATAAAAAAAAAAGTCACCAATTTTTATTATTCAAGTCTGTTTACTTTTAAAGTATTATTAATGAAAAGTGCAATTTCACATAATTTTCCCGCTTTCGATACGAGATATATACACGTACATTGCAGACGTCACAATTACAAAACCCTTCTTAAGGCCAACAACTGCAGGTAATAAGCATTACATAATTGATTACACCGATAAATATAATCGAAACTTACAGTTTCAGATCGGGTTTTATTTCTGTAGCCGCAACGAAATGTCCTTCAATACTGCGTCGACAGCGACTGTGTTCTGATGCTATTTATTGTAAAGCTACAACTCCATTCCAAGACCAAACGTGACACTCGCCTAGTCCAACCATTCAGCAAAGGTGAGTGATTTACTCAACATCCAACCTAACGTTAGGCATTTCGAATTGGCCCAGCAGTTACCACGGCAACGTGACGTCAAACCACATTCAACAGAAACGCTTACTTTTTTACTGCGTGACCATTCTGATAGTTTATGGGGTTAGATGACCCACAAATAAATAGTTCCTAACAGTTACTCCAATCGTTCATCATGACACTTTCCTTTAGATTTAAATTGGTATTTTACTTCGCAGTAAGACTGGTGCACGGTTAGATCTGATTATACAGCATCAGAGGGCTTGAAGATGTGAAGAACTAATAGCTGAACAAATATTTACAGTAAATAACTTAGCAGCTGATGGAATAACACATTCATACAAATCTGACGGTTTTACACCTGGGATTAGGTGGGTTCGAATCCAATCACCGAACATACTCGCCCTCCAGCTGTGGGGGCGTCGTAATGTGATTTTTCATTGGTAAAAGAATAGCCCAATAGTAGGCGGTGGGTGGTGTTTACTAGCTGCCTTCCCTCTAGTCTTTCACCCCTAAATTAGGAACGGCTAGCGCATATAGCCCTCGGATAGCTTTGCACGAAATTCAAACTGGTGGTGGAATTTTTTTAATGTATAAATGAGCGTATGTAGCAAGTTTCATATTGTTCACATTACCAAATATATAACACGTCAGACCACAGCGGCGATATTATTTATTTATGCCCCCCTAGAAAAAGACTGAAGATATATTTTACAAATGACATCAAAGGAAAGGGGATGTCTTGGCTTCGTATTATAGATCATATGACATCAAAGGAAAGGGGATGTCTTGGCTTCGTATTATAGATCATATATATGATCTATAACAAAGGAAAAGGGATGTGTTGGCTTCGTGATGTCATATGATCTATAATACGAAGCCAAGACATCCCCTCTCCTTTGATGTCATATGATCTATAATACGAAGCCAAGACATCCCCTCTCCTTTGATGTCATATGATCTATAATACGAAGCCAAGACATCCCTTTTCCTTTGATGTCGTTATTTTTCTGTACACCTCTACACAAGAGCTTGGTAGGCCTATTCTTAGAATACACACAGAATTTTAAAAAACTATTTCCTCGGTGTTTGGTATCACAACATGACAAAAACGTCTGGAATAAAATAACCAACATACTTAAATACAAATCGGTGATACTTGTAAACACAGATAACTGTTCTAAGTATAGAAAGAACACGATCGGACTGTCTCTTCTTGTATTACTAATCAAACTAAGAATGACCAATCACTTCTCCAGGATTTCTAGACAAATAACAAATGAAGGCATAACTATTGAAAACCAATACCAAAATAGATTGTTTATATATATAATTTGATAACAGGACACAGATCTAAATCGAGTTTACGCCTACACAAAGGAATCTTACCCCGTATTATCATCATTTGCAACTAATTGTTAAGATAATGTCACGTGTGTGTCTGTAACAGTAATACCTATATTTTTCTTGTCTGATTAGAACATGAAATGAGGAAATTGGGAATTTTCTCGAATCGACGTTTTTATCATCAGGTTCCTTCATTATGCCTTAATTTGTCGCGAGAAAAGGTCAGACACTTTTTACACTCAATCATTTCAACTAATGCCTTAATTTGTCGCGAGAGAAGGTCAAGACACTTTTTACACTCAATCATTTCAACTAATGCCTTAATTTGTCGCGAGAGAAGGTCAAAAAGTGTCTACAATATTTACATATTTCCAAGCCAAACAAGTTCGCACGTGACACAGAAGTTGCGCTTGGCTGAGTAAGATGGAGGGAGTTCCGGTCACGTCTTGAGAAAGATTGAAAGCTTCGGGAATATACCAACAGATGTTTAACAAAGTTCTACAACGCAGCGTCTAGTGTCAGAGATGAAACGTCTTAACAAATAAATTAGTTTTCATTTGAAGCTGGGTTGTTGAGGTATATCTGAGTCAGGGTACCTCCAAAAAAATTAAGATATTCAACGAAGAGCAAGTACACCAAAGAATGATATTCTTGTAAATGTAACAACAACGCCCTCTGTCCAAGTTAAACGGTGATTTGGATAATCATGCAAAAATAACTAAATATTACAACATCTGCCAAATTAGGTTCATTACCCCCAGACCAAACAAAATAACTACTAATTTAGCAAATTTGAACATACAGTATTAAAACCTACGTAGAACAGTCCTAACATCCATATACGAACCATAACTCACAAATCTGTCAGAACAGCTAGATTTGATTCTTCACAGTCTTAAAACATTTACAGTTTTCCTCAACGTAATCAAATAAAACACACGTGCGTATTTCAGGCTTGTTATATAATTTTACATTTGAAAAAAAAATGCCTTCACACGGTCTTACCCACGTACGTATTACACGGTCTTACCCACGTACGTATTACACAGCTGTAGGTATAGTTTGATGTAGTACACAGCTGTAAGGTATAGTTTGATGTAGTACACAGCTGTAAGGTATAGTTTGATGTAGTACACAGCTGTAAGGTATAGTTTGATGTAGTACACAGCTGTAGGTATAGTTTGATGTAGTACACAGCTGTAGGTTTACAGTAGGTTTGATGTAGTACTGCAAGAGTCTAATATTTTTTCTTTTTTTGCAGTTCCATAAATTCTTTCACTTAGAGGTATTACATGCACAATTAAATACACGCACATCGTTACAAGCATAATTAAATTGTTTGTTTGTTTTTGGAATTTCGCGCAAAGCTACACGAGGGCTATCTGCGCTAGCCGTCCCTAATTTAGCAGTGTAAGACTAGAGGGAAGGCAGCTAGTCATCACCACCCACCGCCAACTCTTGGGCTACTCTTT